AAATTCGTGTTGCACCGAACGTTAGCGATTCCGATTCAATAAAAACGAATATACGATGGTTCGCTGAGCGGTAAGCAAAAAATATACGAAATCGTATATAACGTCGGCGGTGCACACGACCTTCTTATATATATAACCGAATATGAAATTGGCAATAAAAGTTTTACGATAAAATACGATAGTTCGGGTAATGTTTGAATATTTCATGAATCGTAAAAGTTTCCCAGACACCGGGAAAGCGTCGAAGAGGGACGAAATTACCGGATAAAAACAATCCTTCTTCTGCGACGCGGAAGCGCAATTGCGGATCTGTCCGTCAGGGCGGCTTAAGACGTGGACGTCGCGCGTCGCATCGTCTCGTTTAAATCAAAAAATTCGAGGGAGCAACACTCGGTTTTGCGCCGGGCAGAAAACTTTTATAGTTTTTCGAACGATCGGGCGTCTCTTTAAACTGGAAACGTCGGCCGTAATTTAGGTGGAAGGAAACTCTGCGACGATCTCTTCTTGTCAGGAGTCGATTTCGGAGTATCGCTTTTCGAATGTTTCTCCCGATTGCGACGGCGTAAGGGGGAAGTTTTATGTGTTCGAAAGGGATGACACAATTAAACGAATTTCTCTAATATTTGTAAACTTTTTGGTACAGCCTCCAACTTGTTAACTTAATTGACTAGTAAGATTGCTTTAATATTCATTGAATTTACCTTAATTTTACTTCCAAAGTTGCTATCCATTTTGTGTGATTTTAAGTTTCTGTCCAAAATCCAGAGGTAATCCCATAATATCATGGATATATATCTACTAACCCGTAGCTACAGCTTCGGTTTTCTACTACTACCAAAGAAGTACTTAAGGTTTTGATTGCATTCCTAATGATTTGTTAATAGTAACGCTGCTGCTGCTTATCATTTTATTAATTATTTATGCCTCTATATGGTAAATACAACCACATCAAACATTGCCAATGACACTGCTCTTACATCGCATTTTTAAACTTTAATTGACTTGAAAAAGATTTCTGATAGCAATGTAGTGGCTTCTTGTGAGTACAGCAAAAACCCAAACCTTTATATTCCGACGCCTTTGTCAAACTGTCAAATTACTGGATACGACTTATCGATGATAACTTAAATTGATCGGCTCACGTAGATGTAATGAGCTTTCTGGCATCACTTTTTTGGTTGGAAAGCTTAAATCGTTGATGAGCTTGAGAAACTGCAATATTGAAATTCCGATATTTTATAATCTCCCAGACATAATTAGGAATCTGAATTTTCAAAACTTCTAGAAATCCTTAACTTGTGAACCTACGTTTCTTATATTTAAATGTTTGTGAAATTAGTTGTTATCTTAAATTAGTGTTTAGGAACTGCGAAAATCAAATATTCTTATTCTCAGTCGTAGGTGACGTCCTTGGTATTGGTACCCCTACAACATGTATGGAAACCATAGTATAGCATTCCAGCCAATTATGTTTTTAATTTTCTGCAAGGACAACTCAGCCTCACATAGGCCTACCTATCGCGTCCATATTCACTTGTTTGATCCTACACGGAGGCACTACAAAACGATGATTTCTATACCTCGAAGTAGGTAAACCTAAATTCTTAAAAATATTAATAATAATAATAATAAATTATAGCGAAATTACAGAAAATACGTACTACAACAAGCGGTGCCAAACGAAAACTGTAGAATGTGTGGAAGTGGTCCTGGAACGATTCAGCATTTAATATCGGCGTGTAGTTATCTAGCGTCAAAAGATTATCTGAAGCGGCATAATCGAGTTGCAGGAATTATCCATCAGCATATCTGCAACAACAAAAAACTGATAAATAGTGAATTCCCGTACTACAAATACTTACGGCAAAATGTAATCGAAAACGAAACGTACAAGTTTTATTGGGACACAGGCATAATAACTGATCGGCAGGTAAGACACAATCGACCAGATGTAGTGGTTGTCGACAAGCAAAAGAATATAAAAGAAATATAAATATCTACCACACGAGCTAAAAGGCATTTACCAACTTGCCAAAGTATACATAATTCCGATCATAATCTCTACAAACGAAATTGTGGAAAAGAAACTGCCCAAGTGTTTACGACTTTTGGGCATAGAAAACCACAAGAAAATTACCACGCTGGTGCAGATGACGACAATACTGGGCACGTGCAACATAGTCCGAAGGGTGATGGCGCATGGAGGAGTCGTTGACGAGTAAAGCCCCGATTGTTCTATGGTGAAAAAGGACCCAACAAAAGTTATGAGAAGACAAATAATAATAATAATAATAATAATAATAATAATAATAATTATTATTATTATTATTATTATTATTATTATAGACTTTAGACTTTAGACTTTATTGGCCATTAAATACATTACAAGAACAACAAATGGCAAGTCACAATATCAAACACATTCTAATAACATTCATAGAGAGCAACATAATTATCAGATAGACAAACACCAAACATTGAAACAAAAATTAGGTAAAAAAAAAAGTAAATAAATAAATAAATAAATTCCCAATTAGTATTATGGAGACACTCGTGACGCAACACGGATGTACTCATCTGCAGTATAGAATGCGTTCTCCAATAGAAATTGTTTTATTATATTACAAAATTTAGTGAATGGCAGATCGTTGACAACGGTTGGTAGAACATTGTAGTAATTAAGGTACAATTTATTTAACTCGGATGTGCGCAGCCTAGAATGGCCCTGGACAATTAATTCAGATCCCCTGGTGTAGTGATTGTGGCGATCACAGTGCTTAGGCATATCGTTCTTTAGCTCATGTATGAGAGTGACTGTATAGTAAATAAAAAGTGATGGTAAGGTCAAAATATTAAGCTTTCAGCGAGCAAGAGTTCAAGTTTTTCTACAAATATAGAAAAATTGCCTCTAGAGCCAGAGCGATAAACATTGATTAAAATAAGATTAAGCACTGGTATCTCCACACCACAAAACTCTGCGTGAAGATCCAGACAATATTTACTCAGATTAAGACTGCTACAGGCAATATTATTTTTAACATATATAGCAGTTCCTCCTCTGGAGGTACTGAGACGACAATAATATCCAACTAATTTATAATTGTGAACCTTAATAATATTAAGCAACTCCTCACCATTTACAAAATGTTCACAGAAACATAGAATGTCAAAACCAATAGAATTTAGATATTCCGTAACCACATCGAGTTTACTTAGGAGACCCTGCACATTGTAGCTCAAGATATTAATGCTGTTCCTACCTCCATCGGTAGTCTTGGGTCGGGATTCTCACTCACTAGACGTCTCTCTGTTGATACTGGAATTGGATCGGTTTTTTCTCTTGTCAGACGCCTGGGGAAAAAATGATTTATCAACACACCCGTGGGCCAGATGGAAGTATCCAGAATTTTTTGCGCTTCGTGATCCATGGCCGATACCCTAAATGAGGAGTAACTCTCAGGATACATTGATGGGACCTGGAACACTTCTACTCCACTAACTATCGGTGCTAGATATTGTCGGACCTCCTCAGCTTTGGTATTCCGATGCAGTTTAGTAATGTGAAAACTGATTTTACGTTCAGCAACTCGAAGTGCACATTTAGAGAACTTTTGCGTTTGGACCCACCATCCAGTTCTATTATTTCAGAGCATATCTGACGTGACACAGCCTCACTGACTGCACTAGATAGTTCTTTATTTGTAATTTTATTCAGGTGCTCCGACTTGGGGGCGTTTTGCTTAATTGGACCTGTCTGTGATGATTTAGCCCTATTTGCAGAATCCAGAGTTTGCCCTTCAAGGAGTCTGCTTTTTAGTAGGCTCACCTGTTCTTTTAAAGCGGTAATGGCTATGGCTTGATTCTCGATAACAAGATCTTTTTGCTTCAAAAGTTCTTTTAAATACATGATTTCTTTTGCGGCATCAAATGGAGCGTTTGCTCCCGAATCATCAGGAATTGGACCCGACTCCAAGGATTCGCCTCCGTAGGAACAGCAATCAATCTTGTCGCCTCCTAAAATTTTCGTGTTTTTCATGATTTTCACGCACGATTTATGCGATATCGTGCCGCACTTGATACACAATAGACCAGTACCTGCCACGCTCTTACACCTTTTACAAGGTTTAGCATTGCTTTGATCAGCCATAATTTTAACTATACCAAAAGAGCCTTCAAACCGCACAGTCGGCTAGATTTTTACTTTGTAAAACGATATCGATCTCAATAAAAATTGACTATTATTAACCGACCGTGCACGCCGTCGCTTCCCGGTCGCACAGTGACACTACGTGAAGCAAAAAAAATATTGTCTAAATTCTAACCTGAACACGTGTTGCACGTGAGATTACACTTTTTACGAAACGAAAGATGCTGATAACAGTTTATTACGTACTACACACACTAAATCTCACGATGAACCGTTTTTAATAAATTAATTTGACTTCAAATAGACAAACAGAGATTGTTATTAGAGACGATAGAAATGCACAATAGAGGTTAGGCACGGCGCGCACAATAATAATAATAATAATATATATATATATATATATATATATATATATATATATATATATATATATATATATATATATATATATATATATATATATATATATATATATATATATATATATATATATATATATATATATATATATATATATATATATATATATATATATATATATATATATATATATATCGTTTATTGACCATTTACAAATACAAAACGTATTTTTAAAGTCAGCAAAAGAATAACAATTTATAAAATAACTTAAAATAATTTAGATCTACTGTGCCCGATAAGTAACAAATTCGTTTATGGAATAGAAACAATGCTCTTCAAAAAACTTTTTTGATAATTGTTTGAATTTTTTGATGGAAAGTCGTTTAATATCAATATTTTTGGACCGAAAAATAGAGTTTGCAAAAATATTATACAATTCTAGGTTAAGTTTATTTTTTTGTGTAGTACACAACCTCGATCTTAATGTTTTGATATTGTCAGCTGTTCGCGTCATGTAACTGTGATATCCACCATGAGTCGGAAAAACAGACAAATTTGAGTGGATTTCGACTAAAGTTTGGAGAATAAACATACATGGTAACGTAAGTATTTTCAATTCTTTGAATATTGGGCGGCAGTGGCTGGACGGCGGAACACCCCCAAGAACCCGAACCGCAGACTTCTGCAATCTAAAGGCTCTCTCGGCCTCCGTCGCGTTCCCCCACAGTAGTAGACCATAAGATAAGATACTATGAAACAGTGCAAAATAAACTATACGGAGAGTGCTTTGCGAGATCGAACCTCGCAGTTGTCTCAGAACAAAAACCTGAGATGACAATTTACCGCACAGGTAGTCTATATGAGGCGACCACGTTAAAAACGCATCTAGGTAAACACCAAGGAGTTTGACCGGTTCAGATTTTTTACTTCTTCGATTGGTATTGAAAATTAGAGTCTTTGTTTTATCGGAATTTAATTTAAGTTTATTAGCAGAGAACCAGTGCTCAATCATAGAGAGTGTAGTGACAGCCTTTTTATTTAAATTAGTTAGATCTTTCTCCGATTCAATCAATGATGTGTCATCCGCATAGAGTATACTGCGAGCAGCATTTGTTGCAAATACTACATCATTGACATATATTATAAACAAAAGTGGACCAAGGATGGAACCCTGAGGCACTCCATTAGTAATGTCCAACAGAGTGGATTCCCGATTATTCCAGACAACATACTGCTTTCTTCCGGTCAAATAAGATTTTAAAAGGGCTAAGGTATTTTCACGAATTCCGTAGTACTCAAGTTTAGACAGAAGTATATTAGTATCCACGCAGTCGAATGCCTTGGTGAGGTCGCACATCGTTACCGAAGTCGACAGGCCCTCCTCAAACCCATCAATCACATGCTCAATCACTGTGTATAAGGCACGGATGGTGGACCTACCTGACCGAAAACCAAATTGGGAATCTGTTAACAATTTCCTTCCCTCAAAGTAAGCAATAAGTTTATCTTTTATTATCGACTCAAAAATTTTTCCAATGATAGGAACGATTGCTATTGGTCTAAAATTATCTAAGATATTAGTATCCCCTTTTTTATGGAGTGGAAGAATTTTTGTCACTTTTAATTCATCCGGAAAACATCCCTCTTCAATGCTATTGTTTATTAGTAACGTAATAGGTTTCAGAAGTGAAGATATTGATTGCTTAATAATATTGGCATTTAGACCATAATAGTCAAGACAACGAGAGTTTTTTAGTTTTAAAATCGCTTCCCTAACATCACTCTCCACAACTGCCGACATAAAAAACGAGAAATTGGGTCTAGATGATCTGGAGATGTAGGTCATAGCATCTACTACTGAAGGTGTGATGGTTTTCGTTATCTCCGCTGACACAGAAGCAAAAAATCTGTTGAACTCCAACGGAGTAATAGATGATTGAATAGAGTTACTGTGCTTAGACCGTCTCTCCGAATTAACAATATTCCATGTCGTTTTAGATTTATCATTTGAACTCAGAATTATGTCATCATAAGCCTTCTTTTTCTCCACCTTTATAGTGTGACGATATTCTTTGTGGAACCGCTTGTAAGCATGAAAGTCTTGGTTACTTTTTGAACTATGGTATTTTTTTTAAGGCATAAAAGATGCTGGCGCATTTGTTTAAGGTTTTCATTGAACCATTTAATTGGCGAGCAATGGATGGTAGAGTTAACAATGGGAAAGAAACTGTCGACAGCTCCCCTAAGTTGTTCAATAAACATAGAACAAAACTCAACGCCACTTTGTTCGTTACTGACAAGTTTGGACCACTCAATGTGCTCCAGACTGTTGCCGAACGCAGTTATACGTTTATTATTTATTAACCTTCTTTTAATTTTATCATGATTACGACAAAGCACTGACGAATTAACTTTTATTAATTGTCCCAAATGATCTGACAAAACGGGGTCACAGACTAGGACACTTAACCGGTCACTAGGAAAATTGGAAATTACATTGTCCAAACAGGAATCTACTGATTTAGACTTCCTGGTAGGTTCTTTTACAAAGAACTCTAAGCCAAACGAAATGAATATATTTTTTAACTCCTCTGATTGTGAGGTTTTTTGTGTTAAGTCTACGTTAAAATCGCCAACAATAATTAAGTTGTCATAACGTTTATGAAGAAAACTTATCATTCTGTTCAAATGATCAATAAAAATGGATACATTGCCTGAAGTAGAAGATCTGTAAAGAGCAAGTAAAACAGTCTTATTATCAATAATTTCCGCTGCACAAAATTCTGCATGAGTTTGAATAGCAAATCCGCCGACATCTAGATATTTGTATTTGATATGCGGTCTTGAAAAAATAGCAACGCCACCATGTTTAAGTTTTGGTCTACAAAATGACGAAATTAAAGTAAAATCGTTCATTTTAACCGACTCAAGCCCACCGCCATCCAGCCAATGCTCAGAGAGGCACAAAATATCAATATTATTTAATCTTGCAAACAATGAAACTTCATCAATTTTATTATGTAGCGCTTGAATATTTATATGTAAAATATTGTAGAAATTATTAGTTGACAAAGAATGGATTTCCTGCACTTTTCCCCAAGCCTTAACACTGTTCATTCCCTTGGGTGGCACAAACCTCACTTGCTCCGGACCCAAACTTCTTAGATGGAAAAAATCTGTTTATCTTCACTCCCACAGGCCAAAGATTCGGATCAAGAATCTTACTCGAATCTACCTCCGGGATGGTGACTTTAAAAGAAGAATACTGTGTTGGAAATCTTGATTGTAGTTTGAACACCGACGCATTGGTAGATAGTTGATTCAAATAGACACTGAGATCATCCTCGGACGTTTGAGGGTCAAGTTTGGTAATGTGATACTGATGGCTCTTCTGGACAGCTTTTAATGAACAAACTGGATTCTCCATTGCACCGATCAAGACATTTGTGGACCTCGTGGCTCTAGGGGCCCTTGAAAACTGCTTAGAACTATCCCCGGTAACGAGATTTTGTACTTGGTTACAAATAGTCGTCGCTTCAGCTTGTTGTATCGCAACTGCCACAGCCTCAGGACTAAATTTTGAATTGTGAGGCGGATCGTTGCGCTGATTTCGATGTTTATGGTTATGTTTATGGTGTGTTTTAGGTTGCTCCAGTTTACCAGGCACGTTTTGATCATGCATCACTGAAATGGTTTCTGCAGGCTGGACAGACTTCAACAATCGTATCTGATCTGTCAAAGCTTCGATTGCAATAGCTTGATTCTGAATCGTTAGTTCCTGCTGTTTAATAATTTGTTCCAAATAATAGACTTTTAATTTATCTGTGCCATCCTGATGAGCTTCCTCGACAGTAATTTCAACTGGTGAGACGACGTCAGTTTTTGCAGTTTTGGCAACCTCATCTTCACAACATGTAACCGATTTACCATCAACAGACCACTTCGCAGTTTTTATCTGCTTTAGACAACTGACGTGTGACAAAACACCGCATCTAACGCACCTAAGACCAGATTTAATGGAGCTGCTCTTGCACCTTTTGCATACTCCCAAACTTTCACTCATTTTTCAATGATAAAGCAACTATCGGTCTTCAACCTCAAATAAACCAATCAAATAGACGAAAGCTTCCGTGCGCACAGTCCGTTCCCAACAGATCAACGTCACCGGGGTGACAAAAACTAATCTGACTCCGCGCAATGACAACACACGTGCACAACCTTTAAACAGCCTACTGATAAAACAGGGGTTGTTGCTAACACTTAGTACGAAGAGAAAAATGTTACTATACACTCCGCACTAATTTTGATAAATTAAATTGCACTCCGAATGAGTTAAATACGCTAAACATTCAGACAAAAGAAAAGTACCACATAGGGCGAGCACAGCGCGCACAATCAAATAATAATAATAATAATAATAATAATAATAATAATAATAATAATAATAATAATAATAATAATAATAATAATAATAATAATAATAATAATAATAATAATAATAATAATAATAATAATAATAATAATAATAATAATAATAATAATAATAATGATAATGATAATAATAATAATAATAATAAACACTGTTTATTTTTGTGTGAAATAGTATCATTGCACTTCTTGCAGGCAATCAACCGACGAAACATTATAAATGTAGGTAAGCATATACTGGGTGTTTTAATTTTTATGACACGATATGTTCGTAAGTTTTACACTTTATCGCTGAGAATATTTGATTGAACCTCGTAGAGGGCCGGCAACAGTATTTAACGTTTTCTGCAATGTAAAATACAGGGTGCGGCAAAAATGTAGACAGGATTTCAAATAGTGGTTGTTCGGTTTGTAAAACCGGAACACTGTGTACGCACTCGCGTTAGGCAGATAAAAATGTGTAATTTTCAGTTATCGACATGACTTGGAGCGGAGTGCATCATTCTTTCGTTGTCGAGGAGTTTCAAAATAAATAAGAACTAAAAGTTTAGATTTTCACGAAATTATATATTATGACATAACAATTGTTTCAACAACACCGTGTCTTTATTAAATGTATCATAATATATAATTTCGTGAAAATCTGAACTTTTAGTTCTTATTTATTTTGGTAAATGGATTTTCATCAAGTAAAAGCCACCTCAGTTCAATTGTCGAGGAGCTTATTAGAAATGGGGAATCTGAAATAGCAACGCAGCGGGCCTTTCGTAATCAGCTTGATGATGGTCGACATGGCGCGGTTCCGGATGGAAGAACAATTCGTCGGTGGGTTTTACACTTCAGGGTCTGCGTGTAACCGAAAATCTAGTGGCCTACCAAGAACAGTAAGAACACCGGAAAATGTGAATGCAGTAAGAGTTTCCGTACAACAGCCTCCAAGGGGTTCAGCTTGTAAGCATGCAGCTGCTTTGAGAATTCCCGATAGAACTGTTCGAAGAATTTTGCACAAGTCACTCCAAATGCATCTGTACAAAATGATGGTAGTGCAGGAATTAAGTGCAAGAGATTTTGAAACCCGTACAAATTTATGCCGGGATATTCTTCAAAACATTCCCAGAGTTACTGTATTCATGTCTAGCGAAGCAAAATTTCCGTTATTGGTCAGCAAATAGTCCACAGGAACTTCATGAGCAACCTCTTCACAGTCCAAAAGTCACCGTCTGGTGTGCAATCTCGGAGTTCGGCGTGTGGGGTCCTTACTTTTTCGAAGAAGATAGAATAACGGTAACAGTCAACGGAGATCGATATTTTGATATGCTTAACAATTTCCGGCGTCCAAAAGTGAACGAGTTGAACAACGATTTAAGAGAACATCTTTGGATCTAGCAGGATGGTATTACATCGCACACAACGCGTCGTTCACCAAATCTTCTTCAAGAAATGTGTATTTACGGGGTGATCTTGGTTGGCCGCCACGTTCGCCTGATTTGTCGCCTTGCGATTTTTCTCTTTGGGGTTGAAATCGAGAGTTTTCACACATCGTCCGCGGACTTTGGAAGAATTAAAGGCAGCCATAAGACAAGAAATTGCCTTAATTCCCCAAGAAATGATCCATCGGGTAATGATGCGCTTCCGCGACAACCTACAAGAGTTCATCGACAATAATGAGTTCATTTGAAAGACACCATTTTAAAAAAATAACGTTCCTAAATGGCATAAAATGTACATTTCAAAATTAATTTTAAAAAAATGTTTGCTTTATGTAGTTTGATTTTTATTAACATCCCAAATAGTACCTATCATCTTGCCGCACCCTGTACAAATGAAAATATAACAATATTAAAAAAATCATTTGTATAAACTAACAAACTAAACAAAAAAATATTGTATACAAAACCATAAACAACACCTTTATCCAAACATTATACCTATAAAAATGGCCGTATACCAACATAATGTTTGGATAACGGTTTTGCTTGTGTTTTTGTATTTAGTTTTTTTTATCGTTTAGTTTTAATGTTATAAGAATATTTTTTTATACCGGAAAAATATGGGGAAGACTTATTAAACAGTTATCAAAAATTATTTATTACAAAGTTATACTACTATCTTATTTTAATTTATCAAGAAAAAGTGGGTCTTCATGTGACTTCATCATGGCACGGTTACACTTCTATTGCAGTTCAACGATTAAAAAGGGCAATCCACTTGCATTTTAATATCGCCACCGGTGCGCGGAAGAAACACTCGAACCCGCCACCAGATTATTCCGATTTTCTCCGCGATGGGTACCAGTTTGCCTCGCAAAAATCGAATCTATTATATTCAGTGGCTCGCCTATATCTCGTACGTATACTCGAGCCCGTTTTAAATTTATTTTCTTTATCGTACGTGTAAATTGCTTCCCTTTGTGTCGTCGACGAGGGGGTGGCGTAAATAGTTTTACCGGACGGGCCGCAATTTCCGGTTTGGAACGACGCTCACAATACATTTCGTATCTCCTTAAATGCATCGCCCATTATGGCGGGAAAAACTAGTTTTTTTTGTAGGTTTCATCTGTTTACGGGACGACGTTGCCAACAAAAAGTAAACAACACCCCATCGACTCATTTAGGGTGCGAACCCCACCCCCTCTCTGGATTAATCTTAGGAAAACTGTCGAAAATGCATTTCTATTGCGGGCAATTTGCAATAGGCCTCCACGAACCGCGAAGTATAAAAAAGGAATTCATTTTGAACTGGAACCGTTGGAAACTTATATCGTTTCGAATAACGGGGTTACAGAAAACAGAGAAACAGGCAAAATAAGAAAAACAGTGCTTGTTGTGAGCCACTTTTGGCGGGAAAACAGGTTAGCGCACTACAGCGCATGCACAGGATGTTTCGCATTCGAAATATCTCGGAAAATCATCGGCAATATTCGGGGTGACACATGCGCATGCTCCTTCCGACAAACTAGGGAATTTTTTAAATATTCTATATATATATATATATATATATATATATATATATATATATATATATATATATATATATATATATATATATATATATATATATATATATATATATATATATATATATATATATATATATATATATATATATATATATATATATATATATATATATATATATATATATATATATATATATATTATATAAAAGTAATGTAGAATAACAATACCGTGATGAACATTGTCTAGAAATTGATACTAGCAAACATATAAAATATTTTTTTTGCGTGATATTTGATTTTCACTTGCCTATAATTATCTTTTCAGAGTTTAAATGTTTCTGGGAAAACTCTCCTTATGTCATTATAATAATAATAATAAAACAATCTACCTTATAAAAATAAATTAAAAAAAACTATCTATCCCCAAGCAACGATAAATGTCTCGGAAAAATGGGGCTTTCGCGAATTTTCGAAAAAACTAATATCAAGCGGGACTTGAGTCAAGTGCCAACGGGAAAAAAGACCAAAAAAATGGTGCGACGGCAAATAAAACCGTAAAAGCGCCCCGGGGAAAAAGTTGGGAAGATTAATCCAGGCTGGCCGTGCGTCCGCCCCCAAATGGCCTCTTAAAATTCAATAAATCCATCACGTTGTTTGTTAAAGTTTGTTCGTTTTTCGTTGGGAGCGAAACGGCCCGCGATTTTATTCATTCGGATCGCGCGCGCTACAAATACATTTATCGGAAGACGGGAGGGGGCGGAGTGATTTGGGGGTGAGTCGGAAACACAAGCATGCGGGATAGGGATTGTTTCAACGGCATTATATACAATATACATTAGATATAGAAATAGATATAGAAACCTGCGACCAATATAAACAAACAATTAGGATTAGTAAACTGTTTGCTTCCACACATTTTTCGCCACAGAATATAGTTTTCAAATGGAGAGATTACAGTTGTTATATATTCACTTATTTTAAGAACTATGCAATCGTTAACATTCAAATATTAACTGGTCAACTGAACTCGCTGAAGAGCGGCAGTATTTATTTGATTGCCGAATATACCGGCACATTCGCCAAATATTAGTACCCGACAGCTGTGGTAAGCATATATCGTCTCTCGCACCTTATCCGACTGATAGGGTGAAGTCACTGTGTCCAAACACATCTGGTCTTATTCCGCGATGATACTAGTGTGAAAGTTGAGTAATTGAGATTAATTCAGGTGGTGTTCGATGTTCCAACTTAAACGCGCGAGCTCGAATCCAAAACGGAATTGCAAACTGATTTCGTTCTCCGCTACATCGGCATCTGCTTTGTTGTTGTGTATCCATTTCTCGCGACAACTATAAATCCGTATCTCGAAACTTTTCGACTACTACGCCGAAAGCAACCGCGCTCATATTTACCATAAATTTGTTGTAGCAATCTGCG